TAAATTCCGTGGCCTGTAGCCTTCAAGCGAACTATACCGACCAAGCGACTGCCGCTTGTCGGCGAAGTTAGTGCCAACTTCTGCGGATAGAGGGTGTCACGTGTTCAGCGCAACAGATCTCCACGGCCGTTAATCTCTGTTTTCCACAATGTAGTATAACACATTTGCAATGGTCATTTTCAATGTTTATTAAGCTTGTTTACGGTCTGTTTATAATATATGACTAACGATTTATGGCATAGCCCTACATGAAAAGTCAATCTATGGCCTTAAGGAAGTTGAATTAATTTCGGATCAATATGGCTGCAAAATCAGAATTCCCCGATAACTTCTGATGTAAGTCTCCCGAATTGAATTACAAAAGCGTACAACACTTCAGGCGCTGATACTAGGTCACAGAGAGACCTTCGACAAGCCTGTGCACACGCCTCCAATAATTTTTCCAAAATCAGTCATATAGTTCTTGCCTATAATACGACAAAGCGAACATAATTGTTTTTTATTTATCCGGTAATCAGTAAAATTTTCGTAATAAGTTTATACTACACAAAGTGGGCGTGTCATTTTTCTCTGCAACTTCTGTTTGGGCCATTTTTGCTCCGATAAATATTCAGAGAGTTACGTGCAAGATGCGAACAAAAACGTACGTAGATACCGAAGTAAATTTCCTCATGTTTGTCACATTTTAACAAAAACTGGAATTCCCCGAGAACTTTAGTGAATACCTCCTACACTGTGGCCTGTAGTCCGCAAGCGAACTATACCGACCGAGCGACCGCCGCTTGTCGGTTAAGACAGGGCCAACTTTAGGGTATATAGTGTCGTGGTCAGCGCAACGGATCATCACGGCCGTTCTCGGGTTTCTAGACCGGAGCCGTCATTTCCTTGAAACAGCTCCTCAATTATCCTGACGAGGCTGAGTGGACCCCGTTCCAGACCCACTACTTCTCAGATAATCTGATAACGCTGGGAATCAAACCCGGACCTCTGGATCTGTAGCCAGGAACTCTGACCAATAGACCACAGAGTCGGTCCAAATACCTCCTACATTTATTAAAAAAATGTTTAAAACGGTTACGTATTGAAACTATTTCACTGACTGATGACCAAACAGGGTACTTTATTACGTTCTAAAGAAAGCGTAATATATCTTCAAACAATCGGAGGTCCTTTCAAAGGAGATACAGCAGCAGGAGCGTCAACCTAATCACTCATCTCCATCTTTTCTTAAAAAAAAAAAGAGCAACCAGACTGTAGAAGTGCAGCGTACATTTAAAAACAGTCACCTGCTCACGCTGGTTCCTCGCTTGCGTATTTTTCTACCCTGAAGATGGAGGCGATAAGTTCTTCCGAAACGTCGGTTTACACAATATCTACACAGCGCCACATCACAGAAGACGGAATTGTTCAAGCTGAACTTATTTTGAAAAACGGTCATTATTAATTATTCATTAATTCCTATCAATATTTTCAAAGTTTTACAGTTTATACGTTTTAAACAGAATGTTTTATTATCCTGATGCTCTTCTGTCCTTACATAAAGCAACTATCTCGTTCTGTAGCAGGTTCTTCAGACAGTACAGCCCTAGGGCCAGAACCCCTAGCCGCTAGGCTACAACGTCTAACAAGGGGAGTGTAATGTTCCTCATTACTGCACATCATCTGCTTCTTCAACGTGTTACAGAATGGGCGAGCACGGAAGTCTCAACAATAACTCAATCTCAAACTTACCGGGAACATTATTACATTGCTAACCCCTTGGGATGCCGATATGAACAGATTTCTTTCAAATCGGTTACAATGCCAAGAAAACACACTGCATCTTCCGATTAATATGCGTCTACAACAGAGACTTGAAAAAAAAGACCGTTTAAGCTACTCGTACAATAAAAAATTAACTTCTAAGATCAACACTACTTAACTTTTAAACGCAATTTACATGTAGAGACTCCAGGGAGGCCGCATCTACCGCCCGTGAAATAGTACAACGTGATTCTAAGTTACTGTCGGGGTTTCCGTGGCCCATAATTTTCAAAACGGTAACAACATAAAACTGCTTATGGAATATGAAAATGTCATTCAAAAAGTTTTACTTAGCTACATTCTACTAGCCGCATTGATGTCTGGGAGTAAATATGACGCCATACCTCAAAACGGCGACTATTCAAGAGAAAGCAATGTGTGTACTTCTGTTTTTCGAAACAAAGTCCGTTATCGCGTACATGAGACACCTTACATTTAGAATTCTCATTTAAAAATATTTTCGGAACATTCGGGCAATCAGGACTACCGTTCTAACATTACGGTCTCCATTAACAAACTGTTAAAGAAACTTTAAATTAATTCTAAACAACTGGTCTCGGCCGCTGTTATGCAACGAAACTTTTGTTGTCCTTCCATCTCCTTGGAAACGAGTTTGTTCCTTAAGGTATTCCTAGGCAACGGCCCACTTGTATTGGGTTTCCATGGAAGTATGCATTCCAGAATCCTGGCGGCAAGCGAAAATAATTAAAATAGATATTAGAGAAGTAAGGTGGGAGGGTGTGAACTAGGTTCATGTGGTTCAGGATAAGGAACACGGCAACAAATCTTCGGGTCCCATAAAGTGAGGCGAAGTTCTTGACTGAGCAACTGTTAGCTTCTCAAGAATGGATTTGATCTATGCAGGTTAATGCGAAAGGTCCGAAAGAAATAAAGAAATATCTTCATGTAGAATGTTGAATCAGTAGCTATCTGAAAGCAAACAAAAATCACCCATTTCTCCACTCCTTTGGAGCCGTTAAGCGAGAGTGAAGACACAGACCTGGAAGTGTGAATACATCCCCGCTTGAATAAACTGATAAATCAGCAGACTGAGGTGACAACGCTAACTCGGATATCAGCTATGAATCTTCAAAATGTTTCATGTTACGTAACTAAGAAAGCTGCGGATATCTGCATGTTCAATAAGTTCTGAGAAGCTTCAGCCATATTGAGAGGCAAGCAACAAATATGAAGTAATAATAACACAATTTCGTGCGGTCAGGGCATGAAGTTGACAATTCCCCTCCATCAAGTGCGGAGGACAAGAACGGCGGAGACATACCTCCACACCCCCATATGTCTTCACGGCGTCGTCCTCAATTAAGAACAGGAACACCTTTATCTACCTATTTTTACCTTATAAGCTACATTTATTCGATGTTCCTGCCCCGTTAAAGCAATCATCTGGAAAGGAACTTACATTTCAAAATGAAAATAATAATATTGTTTTCACTGAATGACGCAAACGTTGAGTTCGGGTGCATTTTATGGTTCATTGCGGTTGTGTAATAATTGTTAGAGGCTACAGCATTCAATTAATTTGAAACGTCTCATCTATTTACACGAGTTTATAACTCTCATACAATAAAAGTAACACGTGGCAATCAAATTCCGAAAATAAACATGAGACCTGCATTTATTAACCAATTCATATCTGTTGTTCAAACATAGTGTCCCGGATTTTCTGTACTCGCGGTAACTTTGCAAGACTACAAGCTCAGATACTCGTATGTACAAAAATAAAATTGATTTTAATTCACGATTTCGGGCACAATGCACTATAAAAGGGCCCATACGTCCACTGTGTCGACGTCACTAAAACTGTAGTAAGTGTGACCGGTAAATCGTGATCACTGATAATGAGCATTTATAATTAGGGATATTTTTCCCCCTTGGCGCTATAGCCCCAATTCTGGCGCTGGCCTAGTTCTATGAAACTCTCCATTTCACTTCAGTTTACTAGATCTTATACATTCGGTAGGACTCCTTGGGCGAGTGATCAGCTCCTCGCAAAGCCTCTACCTGTACACAAACACGGAAAAACGCACGCACGCGCGCACACACAAACACGAAACATCCATGCCCTGAGTGGGATTAGAACCCAGGATCCCGGCTTCCTAGCGAACGAAGAGAGTGCATGCCTTGGATCGCGCTATCGTGACCGGCAGTGTATAAGAATAATATATAACAATTCAGTTCGTACCTCACAGGAAACAGATCCGAACCCACGATCCCGGCTTCCGAGCGAGCGAAGTGAGTACATGCCTTAGACCGCTCGGCTACCGTGACCGGTGTAATTAAGGCATATACGTAAATAAATATTATGTCAGGGTTCTGTTACTGTAAACAACGAAGAGAAAATAGGATCGTAAGTGACTTACATTGTGAGAGAATGCGCGAAAAGGCACAGTAGCCCTAATAAAAAGTATTTAGTACCTAAAGGCAAATTCAATTAATTTATTGTTTATTTAACGACCGCCTCTGTGGTTTAGTGGACAGAGTTCCTGGCTAAAGATCCAGAGGTCCGGGTTCGATTCCCGGCGCTACCATATTTTCTGAGAAATAGTGGGTCTGGAACGGGGTCCACTCAGCCTCGTGAGGATAACTGAGGAGCTATTTCAAAGAAACAGCGGCTCCGGTCTAGAAAACCGAAAGTAATGGCCGTAGGAATCCGTTGCGCTGACCACGCGACACCCTCAATCCGCTAAAGTTGGCACTAACTTCGCCGACAAGCGGCGGTCGCTCGGTCGGTATAGTTCGCTTGCGGACTACAGGTCACGGAGTTTCTTTTCATTTTAATTGTTTATTTAACGCCGCTGTCACTAACTCAGACTCCTACGTCAGGTCATCAGATGAGAGTGAATGAATTGAAAAAGATGCTAAGGAAGCGGCCGTGGCCTGAACTATGACACTATCTCGGTATTTGCGTCTAGAGACTGGGAAAAACCAGGATGAATCTGTGGGTAGTCGGTACCCTGAACGAGATTTGAGAAATGAACGTGAAAATCTCTACTCCTAAAATGGTGCTTAGGTCGAGGCAGCAGGTTCCTTAATGTTGGTAACAAGGAACCTGTTTACGGCGTCGCGATCTTCACTTTTGTGAAAGCCTCAAACAGAACTTCATCAGCTGAGGAAACAATGTGACGCTAACTACATTTTGCGGACTGACAGCTGTTCTGGAATACTGGCCTACATACCTTGGTCGTTCTCCCTTCGCCGTTGCAACATCTGTTCCTCTTTCTGTTCTTCTGTCTTTCGGGCTCTGTCCCGTTCAGTTTGCATCTGTTGGCGTTCTGTCTCCTCAGGCTGTGCTGCAGCATTCTCAATTGCTTCCTTCTCCAAGATTTCTTTTAGACGGGCTAAAACAAAAGAATGCAATCTGACTTCAAAATAATATCAAATGTTTATTTAAATTAGCTGTGGGTAAAGGGGCAGGGACGTGAAGCTGATCACTCACCTCCATCTAATGCCGAGGTAAAAACGGTAGAGTTATGCCTCTACCTTCCCCATAAACCGTGACTGTACATGTACAGAGTGTCCGGATGAAAAGTATCCAAAATAAAATAATTATATCTCAGAAAGAATTTATTATAACATTTACAGGTTACACCATTACAAAGGGAAACTATCAAGGTTTCATTTTTCTGGGTATATAACTTTCTCAATAAATTTAAATGTGGGCTCTCTTGGTGGCACGACAAATATCCAGGCGTGAAGTATGTTTGGTGTTACCCTAGCCACAGCATCCCTTATGCGGGCCTTCAGGTACTGAAGGTCGTTGATCTTCACCTGGTACACAATGTTCTTCACATAACCCCACAATAAAAAAAGCCAGTGGGGTTAAATCTGGCGACCTAGGAGGCTAAGCAACTGGTTCATCTCTGCCCATCCATCTCCTAACCGTCTCTATGTCCAGGTGATTCCTAACATGGTGGCGGAGCTCCATCTTGTTGGAGGATAGTTTGAGGTGGTAACTGAGGCAGCGCATACAGCTCCAGCATGTCCAAGTATGAACGTCCGGCCACAGTCTTTTCCGAAAAGAAAAACGGCCCAATCAGCTTGTCGTGCATTAAGCCGGCCCACACGTTCTTATTGGGGTTGCCCCTCTCCAGCTCACATGTGACATATGGATTTTGACTGCCCCATATCCTGCAGTTGTACCTGTTTACAGCTCCACTGACTCGGAACGTCGCCCCGTCCGAGAAGCCCACTTGGCAGAGGAAATCGGGTGACGCGTCAATTCTTTCTAGCAGGTCCACAGCGAAGTTTGTGCGTGCTACTTGGTCACTCGGTTTTAGTGCATGAATCATCTGAATCTTGTAAGCTGTTAGGCGGAGCCTTTTGTGTAGCGCACCGTGCACTGTTGAAAGTGGAATTTGTAACTTCAAGCAAACAGCACGAATTGATTTGCGTGGACTTCTTTGGAATGCCTCTCTAATGCGACCGTCATTTTCTTCAGAGGTCCGAGTCTTTCCAGGAGATTTTACACGCAACAGACTACCCGTAGTCCTCAGTTTGTTGTCCCAGAACCGAATGTTTTTCCGTGTAGGAGGTTGACGTCCATATTGCATTCTAGTACGACACTGGACAGCCGTAAGAGATTGCAACTCTGCTAGCCACAACACGCATTGAACCTGTTCCTGTGGTGTAGACAGCGTTACTGAGCTCACCTAAGGTCACCAGCTGGCGCATGCGCGTAAGCCTGGCATAAAAAAGAACTTCCAGAGTTTTCCTTTCCGATGACATAAACCGGATAGGTGTATGATATTTAGCTTCCGAGATATATATATTTTTTTATTTTGGATACCTTTCATCCGGACAGCCTGTATATTGTTTAATTACATAATTAAGTACAGAGATAACTTCAACGTAAATGGCGCAGAAAAGTTTCAGGTTGCTCCACGAGGACTACCTCCTTATCATATAGAAGTTTACGCGCCCCAGTGACCGGGAACACTCTGCTGGCGGGAGCGTAAACATCTGATAGAGCCACCAATGCCAAACAGGTGAAAGATTGGGAGCTAGACGAAATGTAGCCCCTGATCCTCCCGATTGGGACTGGGCGTGGGGCTAAGACCGCACCTCGAAAAGCTTTCTGTTAAGAAACCCCCAGAGAAATATCACGAATGGCAAGACGCACACAGGGTTGTAGCGCCAGTAAAGAACAAGAAGAAAGTTTGAGGTTATGGGGGAACAGAAATATAAAATTAGAAAAGAATAGAAGGGGTAAAGGTGGTACTTACAGCAAGAGGTAGAAGTATAGCAGGAGATTAGGCTAAATGGAAGTAGGTATAGGAACTATGTACCGCAGGAACTTGGTCTTATGTGGACTAAGACCTATGTAATGTTATAAAACACAATTCAGTAGTTATAGACATATTGGAATCTACAGTAATCTGAAGACCGCAAATGAATGGCAATAGAATGCACACGTGAATACCCGTTAGCCGTACGATTGTTGCCCCTGAAATAAGAACTTTCAACGCCCATTTCGCGAGTAGTGATGAGACATGCTCATGACGAAGTAACATTAGCAATATTCAACACAGGGCAATGAAATGTTATGTGGTGACAGATATTCCAAAAAACATGAAATATCACTTTTCTTTCGTATCGACTTAACCTAAAGACGGAAATACAACCAATTTCGGAGGCGCTGTGGTTTTAATAAACTGGGACAATCGACAAAACACAAAATAACAGCCTTAAATCACGTGTTACATAGCCACAGAAAAAAAAAACTTTATTGACGTATCTAAATTATAGTGAGAATTTCCTCTCGCTAGTGCAGTTAGTTAAGAAGATGCGAGTCAACTCCGCCGTGCTTATGCGGCAACTTCTCCGACGTAACCGTACTGCGGCACAATCTATTCATCAGGTACGCACATACCAAGAATAAAAATATGTTCTGAAAAAGAAGTTCTTCAGGATGGGTGTTGAGAAACTGGAATGGAGTTCCCAGTAGGTAATACCTAAAGACTGATTATGGCTGGATGATCTGGTGATTCAGAGTGTGAAATCCGTGGAGCGAACTTCAGGAAGCACTAGTGGGGGTGAAAAGCAATAGAGCGAGCACTGTGTTGTCCGAAGTTTTATGTGACATCTCGTCGCAACTGCCTCTGGGAAGGTGCGTATATATTCATGATGGATATAAGTAGCCTACAGAGGTCTCTATGCTTAACTAATTAAGCACTATGCCATGAAGACGTATGGGCGAGTGGATGTATAGATCTAAGTACTCTTGACCTCTGTACTAGGACGTAAATTGTCAGCTTCACGTCCCGGAGAAGGAACCCCCGATACCCACTGGACAGGAGCCTGAGTGGGCTCCAGAAACGGTCTGGAGCCCGTGGAGAGGATACAAATCTTGTCCTTTCGGGACTCGAACTCCGACCACTTCGCAGTTCAGCCCGTAGCCAGTTGCTATACCGACTGCGATATCCCAGCTCCTACACAGTAATATAAGAAAGTGAAGCCAACGGTTCCTTATTCCTATCTCGCGGATTTTTCTACCTTGAGGTGATGGAGACGGCAAGTTCATCCGAAACGTCGGTTCACACAAGCTCTACACAATGTCACATCCCAGAAGACGGTATTCCACCTAGCCACCGCCGTGAAAACCTGAAATCTTACATATAGAGTCGGGTTTATGTTATTAATAATTCAAACTGATTCTCTCGACTCCTCCATAGTCACCTTCAGAGACAGTACTTTGTACACGAGAACTATTTGCAAGAAATTCAGAAGGGCAGATATAAGCTTAAATACCGTAGAAGTCACTCTCGCAGTCCCATACTGAAGTTCACATAATGTTTTAAAAATAAACTGAGCACACGGACTTTTCTCTACTGATGCTTACATAACAGAACTAGACAAATAAAGTTCATATTAAAGTTTGGAACGGATTTAAGTAAATTAAAATGCATTCTTGAGCGTAAAAATAATAAAAAACTACCTCACGTCTATTCTATAAATAAACGATCCTATTAAAAGAGACTTCTGTTGAGTGTTAGCATTATCCTGAAAATTACTTCAGTAATCCAGGTGAAAACTTCCAGGAATTCAAATAAATTGCGCTCCTTCTCTTTTGCAAATCCAGCAGTGAATGTTTTCGTTACAAATGAAGAGCTACTCCATTCTACTCGCTCAGTTGGCCACGGTACACAAATGTCTCTCATAAGAAATCTTAGTCTCGTACTGTGACAATAACAACTATGTGAAGAGAGAACAGGTGAGTGGGAGTACTTTGCATCTGAAATGTTTTCAATTTAAACCCGGAAATATAACAATCCAAATTAAAAGTACCGGCAACAACACATTTCGAAAATGGCAGACGAGGCAACAGCAATGGCAGAGACAAAAAAAAATTGAGGAATGAGAGAGACAGAGAAAGGTAAAATGAACAAAAGCATTTTCATTTATCGACAAGATGCGAGAAAGAGAGAAAAACGAGTTCTGTAAAATACAACCTCCCTTGCTGCTATTTCACCCTCTGTAAGCGTATAGGGGGAATAACACAGCATCACATTAGAGGGATGACGACAACGATGATGAATTACATCCCCCCTACTACCAATCAGAATACAGAATTTAACACCCTTGTCTGCGATTGGTCAAAAGCAAGAAGCTTCTCTCTCATTAAAAAAATCGCTCTTTTTTCTGCCGCTTCAGTGATCATCACTATGGGTAAGCACCCCGCACCCCGCACCCCTTTTCCCTTTCATTTTAGACTGGGGGGATAAAACGAAGAGATAGAGACAGAAGAGAAAAATAGATCTTTAAATAAAAGCATGCTCCAACTCTGTTATGGGCGCGCGTGTGTTGTGTACGTCCACAGTAATGATACAACAGCGTACACATCTCCGTTTCGAAAAGGTTACACCCGACTACTACGGCAAAACAAAAAATCGCCGAGACCAATTACAAACCTAACCTATATGAGACTAGTCATTTAGAAATCCGAGCCATCGCATTATTTGACGCACGTAATGAAAGCAATCAACTTGAAATATGAGACCAGCATTGTTAGAGCTCATCGAATTCTAAAATGTATTTCCAATTTAAGTAATCACTGCTCGATTTATTTTCATTGAGGCTCAAATATGTTCACCGTGAAATTAATGTCGAAGAAAGGCATAAGATGATTAATTAAAACAGATTAAGTAAAAAATATGTAAGATCTGAGGGTTTCATGGCGGTGACTATGAAGAATGCCGTCTTCTGGGATGTGGCGTCGTGTAGATATTGTGTTAACCGATGTTTAGAAGGAACGTATTGCCTCCATCTTCAGGGTAGAAGAAAAAAGAAGAAATAGCTTGAGCAGGTGCTAACAGGCTAATGTGCCACGACATAAAGACGT